CTAAGGAGTCCAGTGATCCAAATTTAAGAAAAACTGCATCAAAAATTTAGTGCTGTAATTCAGAGTGACAGCATGGGTCAACTTGATCATGAACACAAGTGTGAATGCAGGCACAGGACATGGTAATGTAGGTAACACAGAATATGCTCTCTATATAAATAATCATCAAAGTGAAAAATCAAAATATTTTTATTCTCATGGAGTAAGGTCATCCAGGAAAAAAAAATCTGTGACACTCTATATGTCAAAATAATTAGGTATGTGATCCCAGGAAAAAGGAATCATTTATATGAGGGAGGATTAAATAGGACTGGATTTTGATTTCAGATAATTTGGAGGATACAAGTTGACATAATATGATGCATAGGGCAAAAAGGACAAGAGAGGTTTGAAAAATAGCAACCTGTGTGAGTGAGCTAGTACACATGACTTATGGGAAGGAGTAAAATAAAGCTTATTTAAAAACAAACAAATACTATGAAAAATTCAAAACATGTTCCTCTAGTTTTAAGAGAAATATACAATAATAATCATTTATAGTCACTCTACCATGCAACAAAATACCAGAATTTTTACTCCTATCTAACTATAACTTAGTACTCATTAACCAATCTTTCCCCATCCCCTTCACCCTCCCACTCTCCCCAGTCTCTGGTACCAACCATTATATTTTATTTTTAAATTTAAGTTTTACAAGTTTCATCTATTTCAATATATACAGATTAATGAACACAGTGATACTTCCTACCCTACCCTGCCGTCTGCCCATGCTCCAACCCTTCTTCTTCCCTCTCCGGTTCCCATTCTTCATTTTCACAAAGACCTACTGCCAGTTTACTTAATGATCGTAAGGTTAACCCTACACTAAGCAGAGAGTTCAAAAAACAGTAAGAAGGAAAAAACACTGTTCCTCAACAGAAGAGACAAGGGCTATAAAAAATCATCAAATCGCAAAATGTCCATTTCACTGCAATACATTACATTTCAGGTACTCTATTAGTTACCCCAGAGCAAACATTTATCTGGTTTTGGGGACTGCCTTATTTCACTAAGTATAATGGTTTCCAGTCGCATTCATTTTGTTGCAAAAACAGGAGATATTTGAAAGGCAGATTTACGGCAGTAAGAGGGAGAGACAGAAAGAGAGGCCTATCCACAGGTTCACTCCCCAAATGGCCCCAATGACTGGAGTGGGCCAATCTGAAACCAAGAGCCAGGAGCTTTTTCTGGGTCTCCCACGTGGGTGCAGGGGCCCAAACGCTTGGGCCATCTTCCACTGTTTTCCCAGGCCATAGGCAAAGAGCTGGATAGAAAGAGGAGCAGCCAGGACATGAACGTGCACCCATATGGGATGCCAGCGCTGCAGGCAGAGTTTTAATCTACTGTGCTACAGAGCTAGCCCCACCATTATATTCTTGTCTTCCATAAGATTAACTCTTTTCTGATTCCACATGTAAGCAAGATCATGCAGTTCTTCTCTTTCCTGTTTGGCTTATTCCACTTAATTTAATTTCCTCCACTCCCAAACATGTTGCAAATGACAAGATTTTGCCCTTTTTTAACGGCTGAATGTATTCCATTGTGTTTGTGTACATTTTCTTTTTTGTTCATGGGTAGATGGACACTTATGTTGTGTCCACTTCTTGGCTATGAACATGGGAGTGCTTATCTCTTTGACAGTGCTTCATTTCTCTTAGATATATACCCAGTGGTGGGACTGCTGGATCATGTAGTAATTGTATCTTTAACTTTCTGAGCATCCTCCAAAATGTTTTTCACAATGGCTATAGTAATTTACATTCCCACCTGCACAGTGGGCATGTGTAATCTTTTGTTTTTTTGATTATAGTCAGCTTCACTAGAGTGAGATGAAATCTTATTGTGGTTTTGATTTGCATTTCCCTAATGATAAGTGATGTTTTATATTTTTAAAATATTTTTTGGTCATGTGTTTGTCTTCTTTTGAGAAATGTCAGTTTACATCTACTGCCTATTTTTGAAGTGGATTTTTGGGGAATGCTATTGAGTTGTTTGAGTTCCCTGTACATTACGGTTATTAACCCTTCTCAGATATACAGCCAGCAAACAACTTACCTCATGCTGTGGGTTGTCTCTTCACTCTGCTGACTGTCTCCTCTGATGTACAGAAGTTCGTGAGTTTGATGAAATCCCATTTGTCTATTTTGGGTTTTGCTGCCTATGTTTTGAGAGTATGATTCAATAATTTCTTGCCCATTTCAATACCCTGAATCTTCTCCACTATGTCTCTTCTAGTAAATCAAAGTTTCAAATCCTGCATTTGGGTCTTTAATCTACTTGCGAATTGAATTTTGTACATAGTAAGATATGGTCTGGATATAGATATCCAGTTTTCTAACACATTTATGAAGAGACTGTTCTTTCTCAAATTTGTATACTCAGTATCTTTGTCAAAGATGAGAATAGCTGGCTGTACATGTATGAGTTTACTTCTAGGGTCTCAATTCTGTGGCACTTGCCTATATGTCTGTTTTTATGTCAGTTCAATGCTGTGTTAATTACTATAGCTTTGTAGTATATTTTTTCAACTTTCATTTAATAAATATAATTTCCAAAGTACAACTTTTGAATTATAGCATCTTTTCCCCCCATAACCTCCCTTCCACCTGCAACCATCCCATCTCCCACTCCCTCTCCCATCCCATTCTTCATCACGATTCATTTTCAATTATCTTGATACACAGAAGATCAACTTAGTATATACTACGTAAAGATTTCAACAGACTGCACCCACAAAGACACACAAAGTATAGAGTTACCTGTACATTACGGTTATTAATCCTTCTCAGATATACAGCCAGCAAATAGCTTATCTCATATTTACTCATTTGAGTAGTAGTTTTACCGTTAATTCACATAGTACAACACATTAAGGACAGAGGTCCTACATGGGGAGCAGGTGCACAGTGACTCCCACTGTTGATTTAAAAACTGACACTCTTATTTATGACATCAGTAATCACCCGAGGCTCTTGTCATGAGCTGCCAAGGCTATGGGAGCCTCTTGAGTTCACCAATTCCGATCTTATTTAGACAAGGCCATATTCAAAGTGAAAGTCCTCTCCTCCCTTCAGAGAAAGGTACTGCCTTCTTTGTAGTATATTTTTAAATCAGGTAGATGTGCTTACCCTGATTGGACATCATCCAATGTATACACGTATAGAAACATCACATGCTACCCACAAACATACACAATTTTTATATGTTGGTTAAAACTTAAATTTTTTTTTTTTTTTTTTTTTTTTGACAGGCAGAGTGGACAGTGAGAGAGAGAGACAGAGAGAGAAAGGTCTTCCTTTGCCGTTGGTTCACCCTCCAATGGCCGCCGCTGCAGCCGGCGCACCGCGCTGATCCTGGCAGGAGCCAGGAGCCAGGTGCTTTTCCTGGTCTCCCATGGGGTGCAGGTCCCAAGCACCTGGGCCATCCTCCACTGCACTCCCTGGCCATAGCAGAGAGCTGGCCTGGAAGAGGGGCAACCGGGACAGAATCCGGCGCCCCAACCGGGACTAGAACCCGGTGTGCCGGCGCCGCAAGGTGGAGGATTAAAAACTTAAATTTTTAAAAAAATTTAAAAACCACGGGCTCTTCTCTAAAGCTATCATAGTATAGTTTAGCTATTCTAGAATAAAAACATAACCAGTTTGTTGCATAAAATTCAAGCAGAAATGAGCAAGTTTTTTTTTTAATATGAGGCAGAAAACATTCAGGGTGCTGAATACATTTAAGGTGTAGTACAGAACACTGTCAAGAACTGTGAAAAGTCTCTAACTAAGAGATCATATACTGCTTGCATCAGCTTCTCTGATGCTACTTAATGACCTCAGACTCCTGAGTCACAAAGAACTTCAGTAATCTAGGAGCTGCAGGCAGGAGGCAGCATGAGCTTCATGTTTTCATCTGTTCTTCTTGTTCCTCCAATCGCAAACAGGCAACATGGATAGGCCTACTTGGACACTGAGCATCCAGTGGGCTTGTATCACAGCTGAGTAAACTCAAACAAAAAACCCAATCTTATGAGGAGACTAGTCGTCTAGCAAACCCGCCCTGCTTTGTCACCAGAGGGGGAAAGGAGGAGCACCATCTTTACTGCCCTGGACAGCAAGCTAATCTCCCCGCCACTTTGGAGAGACACACACCTCTATCTTCAAAGCCTATTTCCCATCAAATGTCCTCAGAGAGAGAATACAAACAAAAGCTGCCAAAACCTTTGCTCAGAGACATGTACAATGTGAGAGGCTCCAGAAGAACTGTCTCCTAGCAAATTACATAATGTGAATTATAAATTATATCATGCTATTATTTGATATATTATGCTATTATTTGATATAGTTTTTATGCTATTACCTAACCAAATAATTCATTTTGACTTTATCAAAAAGCCAAAGGCAATATAGAAATTTCAATTTTTCTTTAGAAAAATAAAGAATAGCTGTCTATCACACTAAACAAATGTGCCTATATGTATCTTATAAAAACTAACAACTTGACACGACATAGATTAAGTAAAACTTTTGGCTTTAACAGGCTTTTCATCTAAATGACAAATGACATTTTTCAAGAGTTCCTATGAGAAGCACCAGATGAGGTACCTAATGTTCCCAAGGCTTTGTAAAGTCAAAGGTAAATAGATTAGATTCAACTTACTAGCCAAACACCAAGTTTCGTAAAGTAAATAAATACTTAAAAGAACACATATTCCTCTGGCACAGTGGGGGATTCAATCTCTAAACATATCTGAAAAAAATAAAACTAAAAGTTGGCACAAATTTGTTTTTCTATGTAATTAAGGTCATGGAAAGGGTATGTCTGTAATAAAGCAGAAACTTTTCAACTGAGAATATGTTTGTAACATAATCACTAAAAATAACCAAAGAACAAAAACCTTTTGAAAAACATTTTTTAAAATATGTATATATGCAATAATGAAGCTTGAACCAGTTAAAGGAGCATATACGACATACCTCTCCTAGAGCTTCATATCTTTTCTGGTTCCATCTGTGCAAATCTTCCCGGTAGTTAAAAACAAATGGTTCCCCAGTTTTTATGTGTCTTAACTGCCCCTCTAGAAAATAAACAATATTACTATGACTAAGAGTACACTCACAATAATAAGGACAGAAAAGTCTGATTAAAATTTAAAATGACCTTTGGTTATTTCTTAGAAGTTTTTTTTCATTGTATATTTTCCTCAAATATTACCAGAACAAATAAACAGTATAAGAATTTAAAAATTGGTCTCCAATAACCAAAAACTGTTCTTCTTGATCTCCTTTTTAATCTAAAACATATTAACAATATTTTAGAGCCTACTACACATATCTGCATCTACTGCCATGAATAAGCTCCCAGACTTAAGTAACTTAGAGACCATCTGAGGAGCAAAAACACAAATACTAAAAAGTTAAGCAACTTTTCAGAAAGTTCAACAAACAAGAATGAAATAAGCCAAGAATCCAAACACTGCTACAGGTTATTTGTGTAGACGATAATGTCTCCAGTGATTCTGGAAAAAAGAAGAATCTCTATGAAAGAATAGGTGCAGAAGATTTCACTGAGATTTCTCAACCAGGCCCGGATATTTGGGTAGGGTATCAAATGGAAATTGCAAAGAGCTAGTGAGAATAGTCAAATCAGACTCAGTCAAAACAGAGATCTTTAGTGATAATAACCAAGTTCTGCTAGTAATTCCAAGGGCACAAGCAAAGGAGGAAGAAGTGTACCTGGCACTTCCTCCCAGGTCACTGCAGGTCCCGTCTTCTCACAAAATTTAAGTAGGTGAGGTCTCTAAGTGAGGCATACAACATACCTCACAGATTGCTAAGTGTTTCAGTTATGTTTTCTTTTTACGTACCAAAGAGCTGTACTGCTTATGTGATAATCTTTATCAAAACATACTCATATATCCAAAGACTGTAGGTTTATTTACCATCAGCAATAACAAACTAGTCATCTTGTTCAAGTCCATAGATAATAACAGTAAAGATTAGTCTACATTTTCTAAAAGATTTAACTATCAGTATACTTATAAAGAGAAAGACCAAAGTGATCTATTCTTTTCTTTCCCCAGTATTCTAGTAATGGGGAGAAAAACAGACAACAGGCCAATTGCATTAAATTCTTCTGTCCTCAGTCAACAGAATATTACTCTACTTATACATATACTGGCAAAGAATACCCTTTACAAAAAAGCATGAAAATTAAAGTTTTGGGTATCCTCTATTTAATTCACTTAACATTCTAGTATTCATAGACTGTCATAAGTCTTAATATCTATGACAGATACTACAAAGGAATATCCACTAATAAAAAGATAACAAATCACCAGTTCAGTTTATGCAAAGCAACAAAAAAAAAACTAACTAAATTTAGAGGCTGGCACTGTGGCGCAGCCGGTTAACGCCCTGGCCTGAATTGCCAGCATCCCATATGCGCATAGGTTCTAGTCCTGGCTGCTCCACTTCCCATCCAGCTCTCTGCTATGGCCTAGGAAAGCAGTAGAAGATGGTCCAAGTCCTTGAGCCCCTGAACCCAAGTGGGAGGGCTGGAGGAAGCTCCTGGCTCCTGGGTTTGGATCGGTGCAGCTCCAGCCAATACGGCCAATTGGGGAGTGAACCAGCGGATGGAAAACTTCTCTCTCTCTCTCTGCCTCTCCTTCTCTCTGTGTAACTCTGACTTTCAAATAAATAAAAATCTTTTTAAAAAAACTAACTAAATTTTAACACTTTGTATTAACATTACCCTTCAAGTATAATAATGTAAGATTAATCCAATGATTCATAATTTTTTTTGTGTTTCAGAAACATACTTGCAATCTATGGTAGGTTCTTCCACATTCTATGTATAAAGGTTATTTCATTCAAACTTAGTAAGTTTTAAAAAAGGAATGTTATCTGAAAAATCATGGAAAATTGAATATTATGTTTTAAAATATCATCATACATAATATTTGCCAGTCACTTCATTTTAAATAACATGTGGAACAATTGCATCTTTCTATATAATCTGATTAGGAGTTCCAATAGAACATAAGAGAGTTGAGTGCTCAAGGTTAAAACACATAAATTGAATTAAATTCATTTCCATTAGTTTACATGGCTTGACAACTATGATAAATTGTTACTTGGTTATTTCACTTGAGTAAAGGATTTCACTACGCAAGCATAAGTCATTTCTTCTCAAAATAAATATAGAAAACATTCTAGTTGGCCATTAAAATACCAAATGATAACTTTCTTATGTTCATAATAGCACTGTTAAATAAATTCTACATTCAGAACACATTACTTACTTTCATTAAAAGCATATTCAAATCCTTCCAGGGTATCAGGAAAATCAAGAGGTGGTTCATCTTTTTTCATTAGTTCATCCAAATCTATCCTAGACAATAAATCTAGAAAAGAAATAAGAAATTTACTTATATTCATTTTCATAGTTAATAAGATTATATTTTAAATTATTTGTAAGTACTCTTGTTCTGTTCAATTAATTTTTGTATTGTTTCAACTGATGGTACAATACACTAAGTTTTTAAGTTTGCAAAGTTCTATGCATGATCAAGCACAATTTCAACATAAGTAAGAATTTTCAAAATAATTACAAAACAATCATGACTCAGATCCTATATATCGCAAATCAAATTATTAGTATCTTCCCTTTAACACAATAGTACGCCTTAATTAACATCTGTCTGCAGTGGTTTTTTTTTTTTTTTTTGCATTTATAAAAAATTTATGTATTTATTTGAGTGTCTGAGTTACAGAGGGAGGGAAAGAGAGAGAGAGAGATAGAGAAAGATGCTCCATCAACTCTTTCACTCTCCAGAAGGCTGTAACAGTCAGGCCTGGGCCAGGCTGAAGTCAGGAGCCAGGAGATTCATCTGGGTTTCCCACATGGGTGCAGGGGCCCACTTGGGTCTTCTTCAATTGCTTTCCCAGGCACATCAGCAGGGAGCTGGATTAGAAGTAAAGCAACCGGGACTCCCTGGGGCCCATATGGGATGCTGGTGTATGGGCGCTGGCACTGCAGGTGGTGGCTTTACCAGCTATGCCACAACACCAGCTGCTGTCTGCAATTTAAATGTTTTACACCAGGTTGTTTTGATTGTAACTGCCCTGATTCTGTACTAGTTATTGGTCTATTTACATTTTCTATGTCTTCATGCCTTAATTTTGGTAAATTGTATGAGTCCACAAACCTATTCATTTTTTTCTAGATTTATGAATTTGTTGTAATATAGCTGTCTAACAATTCCTGATGATTCTATTTCTAATACATCACTTGTTACTTTTTTTTATTTCTGATTTTATTAATTTGGGTCTTTTTATTGGTTAGTGGGGAAAACGGTTTATCAATTTTGTTTATTTTTTTAAAAAACAGCTCTTCATGAGATGTATAATTTGGGGCATGCTCGGGCTGACTTGCCCCAATTGGTAGAGTTGGAAACATACCAGGGGATTCCAGTTCAATCCCATCAAGGTGGCATGTGCCAATGCCATCTCACCAGTCCAAGTGATCAATTTCAGTTCACAATTGATCATAATGAAAGGACTAAGAGTCAAAGGGAGCACATAAACAAGTCTAGTACCTGCTAACACTAACCGATAGAATAAATAAAGGGGAGAGTGATCCAACATGGGAAGTGAGATACTCAGCAGACTCATAGAATGGCGGATGTCCTAAATAGCACTCTGGCCTCAGAATCAGCCCTAAAGGTACTCGGATCTGGCTGAAAAGCCCATGAGAGTATTTCAGGCATGGAAAGCCAAGACACTCTGGCAAAAAGATCTCTGTGAGTGAGATCCCAGTGGAAAGAACAGGTCTTCAAAGAGGGAGGTGCCTTTCTCTGAAGGGAGGAGAGAACCTCCACTTTGACTATGACCGTGTCTAAACAAGATAAGAGTCGGAGAACTCAAGGGGCTTCCATAGCCTTGGAAACTCATGACTGGTGCATAGGGAGATTACTGATGCCATAAACAGGAGTGTCAATTTGTAAAGTCAACAACAGGAGTCACTGTGCACTTACTCCTCATGTAGGGATCTCTGTCCTTAATGTGCTGTACATTGAGGCTTAATGCTATAACGAGTACTCAAACAGTATATTTCACTTTGTGTTTCTATGGGGGTGCAAATGATTGAAATCTTTACTTAATGTACACTAAACTG